TCTAAATGGCCAGCGTGTGCATTAGCTATTCTTTCTTCGTTATTTTCGTTGTCTTCTCCTTTTCCACAAATCCCTATTCTCCATACTCCTAACTTTTCTTCTTCCTCCCTCTAAATGGCCACCGCGCGCATTAACTTTCCCCCGATGCATAAAGCCTCGCGACAGAGGGGAAACTCCGCGTGGAATGGCGAAAACGAGCAACTCGCGCGAACCCAGCCGAGAACTCGGGAGCTTTTTTCCACCCCGGCCAGTTTTTGCACCCTCAGATAAATGTCGCGCGATCACGGTGACATCCGCCGGCCGCGGAATGAATTTTTTCTCGATAGAATCTTAACGATGAGGCACCCCGTGGTACGCGACTTACGTATGAGCCGCTTTATCGGGCTTCCACAATCGTTCCACTGTTTGCCCGGAATTTTTCGAGATAGAGAAAGAGAGCCGACTGTTTGCGCGATTTATCGAGCGATCATCGTTAGACAACCGCTCGAGGACTCTTTCGAACGAGTTTTCCCTCTTATCGGTAGTCCGATCCGCATAAAAGATCGTTCTTAAACCGGGCCGATAATGCTTTCGAGCAAATATTTAAGTTTCCTGGAAATTCCTTGCGCCACTCGCACACCGGGACCTGCCGGACGCCGTGCTTAATAGCCATCCCGTGTTTGTTTCGAGCAACGTGTGCACGAATTACGTCCTGATACCTGGCCAACGCATTTAAAACGGGTATTTAAAAAGTAGTTAGTGTGGTATTATGAATATTTAGCAGCAATCGCTACGTGAAACGATGCCGCTTGATAGTCAGCCTTTGCTCGATGATTGGACTAGGGTATCGTAAAGGCTTTATTAGGAATTGCTGTTGCTAGAGTTTGCGAGTAGACAGTGTTTTGATATTTTCATGTTCTTTCCGTTTTTCTTTTGCGAAATCTCATTCGAAATCGATACTCTGAACGAATATTTCGAGTAAACTCTCAGTATGGTTGTTAATTATTGTAGTATGGTGATCGAGCAGGTTTTTATTCATATGGTAGGTACACACGTTTATACTGACACTTTGTACAATAGAGTTATTGTGAGAGAAGGTCCTCTTCCTCCACGGGGGTTATGATGAATTACGGGTTCCTATATGGTGCTGCCAGTTAGTATCCTGATGGTCGACTTGCTATGATAAGTAGCAGATAGAAGGACGTAAAGGAGGGATGCCTTTCGTCCTGGACCTGCTAGTAGACTCATCAGTAAAGGTTACCTAACAGGTCCTGCCTTAGACGGGATATATAATACTTAGTTTGGATAAGAACGTGTACTTATATTAGTCGAAGATTCACCGAGGACTTACGAGAAACCTCGAACCTCCGTTTGCCATCTAGCGGTGAAAGTGTGAACCTTGGTCGCTACAGTTATTAATTACTGTTTAGATACGTTTTCATATAGACAACTTTGTACAATACAGTTATTGCGAGGGTCCTCCCATCCAACGGGGGGTTATATACGATGGATGAATTACGGGTACAATAGAGTTATTGTGAGAGAAGGTCCTCTTCCTCCACGGGGGTTATGATGAATTACGGGTTCCTATATGGTGCTGCCAGTTAGTATCCTGATGGTCGACTTGCTATGATAAGTAGCAGATAGTAGGACGTAAAGGAGGGATGCCTTTCGTCCTGGACCTGCTAGTAGACTCATCAGTAAAGGCTACCTAACAGGTCCTGCCTTAGACGGGATATACTTAGTTAGGATAGGAACGTGTACTTATATTAGTCGAAGATTCACCGAGGACTTGCGAGAAACCTCGAACCTCCGTTTGCCACCTAGCGGTGAAAGTGTGAACCTTGGTCGATACAATTACTAATTACTGCTTTATGGAACCACAAATATGTTGGAATCCGAATGAAGAATATTGTGGACCGATTAATCTAATATTCTTCGTAACGCTTCTATTTATCTAAATTATCCTACTATTATCTAAAGGATCGGTGTCGAAGACGAACTGATTTCTCGAATTAGATCTACGTCGTGTCTCGTCGTATCCTGCCCGGTGTTTTCTCCAGTTTAGTTCTGATTGGGCAAAATAAACGTTGTTGATGGAAAAGTAAGGAGTTTTAATTGGACAGAGGGTGTGACGGAAGGACCTTTGGCTAAGGAGTAGGAAACGATTTTTTATGGTCAATGACGTGATTTATAAGTGGTGTTCATCCGTCGCTTGTTGGGTCTGTCACACGTGAGTCCCATCTGTCGAGTCTGGTACTTGTAAAAATTCCTAAACTTTCGCCTTTACCTTCACAACTTAATCCGCTAGAACGGCGGTGAGGCACATCTATCCTCCGGAATTGCAGTCGTAATATAAAATATATTGTTAGGTCTGTTAAAATTGTAGGCCTTGGAATAAAAATCGTGTTATAAACACGCTCTCCGGGACGGAACATTCCTCTTGAATTAGACGAAAACGTGTAATTATTCGCAAGCTTCATCGATAGGGCCCGACACCCTTTCGATCCGCACCTGGGCCAAGTCATTCTAAATTATTCCAATAATTATCGCGACAATTAAAAAACATAAATCGATCCTCATTTCAACATGAGTCTCCTAGTATGTACTTACAAAGTATGTTCGTATGACGAACGTTCGACTTCTGTTCCTCGCGATCCTGACTGCTGCCATAAACGGAGGATGAGCGCAATGGACGGCACTTTGCTCGTCATTGACGTAAACCGATTGTTCGGACCGTCATCGGCAAACAGATCGGCAGGATTTATAGGTTGATTCAGGTGCGCTCGGTTCACCTTGACTCATTATTCCAAATCGCGTTCCGCTTCTTTCCTCGTTCGTTAATCGAATTTTCAGCCTGCCTTCGGCTCACTCGCGATACACCAGCCGATCCACTGGCCGATTCTTCGTTAATCGATTCGACTCGATCGGCTAATTAAAAAAAACCACGCTGCGGAAGTAACGAATGTTATGATTCCCGATAAGGTATCGTTTCTCTTGCCAGAAATGCAATGGTCGGACGTGTCTGCAGCTTGCAGATGAACCGTACGATATTGCACTAATTGAAGAAAATGTTGTTTCCTGGGAATTCCTTTTTAACAATTATGGAAGATAAAGTAACGTAAAGTAAATTATGGGAATCATATGCGTGGTCCGTTTTGAAAGTAACGAGGCTGTATTTATGACAATATTTCCTTATATAATTTCAATTATATCGCGAAGAAAGTAGCTCTATTAAGGAACTCGCTATAGAGACGTTTGCCTGACTTTTTAAGGAAATAATGAGAGGCTCTGCCCTTTATGTTTATTTTCTGGGTATTCGTTCATTTCGTCTTTGAGACATTTCAGACAATGTTTATAATTAAATGGAAGGCTCGAGGATCTGGGATAAATTTAGGCTACAGATCGTTTTATTGAAAATTATTGATTAATACGTGTTTGACTTGGATAGATAAAGTTACTATTTTCTTTAAATTTTATATTTAAATTCAGGACAGTGTGGATTGTCTAATGTTTATTTGGATATTTATGTGATATTTTGTTTGACATTAACTGAAGCTTGTAAGATTTTCTGTTATATCTGTATATTTTTTTCATTATAGGATCTGTAATTTATCTGATACTAATTGAAGTAATTACTACATATAATACGTTAATATGTATCTGGAATTAATAATTCTATTATACTTTCATGCAAAATTCTGAGATTTATTTAATATTAATTAAATTAATTAACACACCATATTAATATACAACTGGAATTAATAAGGCAATTTTCTATGATATTTTTATTCAAGATTCTATGATTTGTATTTCTATAAGTACATGCATATGGCTAATTAAGCTTATAGATTGAATTAATTCACTTACCTTTTGCCAAAACTACCAGTCTATGTTATGGAAACAGTCTCGTTAATATTTGAGGCAGACCATGTATAATATAGTTTAGTCTCATGCTATTTTTAATTATTGAAATGTAATTACTGAATTGAGGTAAATTAATTTCTTTGTGCATATAACAGAAGCATTTATTTTATAAGAAACTGAAAAATCAAAATTCTTTTTCAAATATATCACCTGCGTGGTATACATTTGATACAGTAAATAAGCTGAAAATAAATATAAATTTGTAAATATAACTAATATTCATTAATTGTTACAATCAACTCTTAAATATTAACAATTAAATTTATATATAATCCCTACTCAACGAATGTAACACGTACTACTTATACATACTAAGCGAGTTAAATTTCCCATTTAACTCACTAGCGCCACCACGGCTCGTATCTGCAATGAATATTTATACATCGAGTACGTTGCACATATACAGCCGAAAAACTTTTGTAGAAAAAGACTTCAAGATTACATCCTTAAAAACAAGAAATAATTCAACGATATATACGATATTTGCGATAAATTCACTGCAGATATGAACACGATATGAAAATTTTTCGAAAATTATTGAGAAAAACACCCAATAACGAAAGAAAGCATATGAAATTTACGTTGTACTACATTGGTCAATGTTTAAACTCTTTGTATCTTAAGTTGATGCCATAGAAATGGAGAATTATATTTTTACACTCGATTGAACTTGTTGTCTCATTATATCACTTATATTAAACTATGAAGTACTGGGTACTGTTTGAGTTTATTGGTCATTCTAATGGATTGAGATTGAGGTTATGCAACATGCACAAATAAGTACCGTAACCCTTTCAATCTTATGGCTGAAAAATTTCTGTCAAACAGTAAACAGAAGATTCCAATATTATACCAGTAATATTAGAAAATAATACAATGATATATACGATACTTATATTACATTTACTGGAGATATAGACCGTGGTGGCGCTAGTGAGTTAAATCAAAAATCGCCTAAAGTCTGTTCAAGCACCTACTCGTTGCAGGGTTAAATAAAAAGAAATAAGAGAAGCTCGAACCCCGTGAAAATACACATAAAAGAAAACAAAAGCTATCCAAGGCACCCAGCACCTAACCTCAAATCTCTGTTCCAGGCGAGAAACCGCACAAGTGCGTGGTGTGCGGCAAGGCGTTCTCTCAGAGCAGCAACCTGATCACGCACATGCGCAAACACACCGGTTACAAGCCGTTCCAATGCGGCCTGTGCGACAAGGCGTTCCAGAGGAAGGTAGATCTGCGCCGGCACCGGGAAGGCCAGCATCCAGCCGCACCGGCGCTCGACTATCGCTCCCTCCAGCTACCCTCGCAGCCCTCCAATGTCAGACACTCACCGCCCCTGCAGCCTGCCACCGCTTATCACATGATACCTGTCCCTGGCAACAGTTGAGATCCTTCCAGGACCACCTCGTCCGTCGCTTGCCTGGAACCTCCTGTCGGACCACCCTGTCGAGTCCTTCTCCTCGCTCTTCGCGCTCGTAAATCGTCGGAAAAGGGTACTGTTGAGAGGAAAGGGTCACTGAAAGACGATCGCGAAGAGGTCGAAGTTCGTTTGTGAGATGGAGGAAATGGGGTGAGTCTGTACACGGTCCAAAATGGAGGATGATGAAAGGTGTATAGGTGCGATCAGGGTGTTGGAAAGGTGTATTAAGAGTTGTATTAAGAGGTGTATTAAGTCGTGGATGTAGTGTAATATACAGGGTGGATCATTTAACGTCAATTGTGTCTAATTATTTAGTTTTTGAAGAACTAATAAGACATTTTCTTCGAGGAACCTTCGAGATAGCGAAACCTAAGTTTGGATAAATTAAGTATGCAACAAAAGGCGGAGAATTTGAATTTACTGGAAACGAGAACATGAGCGATGTGGTCGCGTCAAATGGCCCACCCTGTAGATGAATTAGGTTGAATTGACATTTTGGTTGTGAGATTGATTCTTGGTTTGATTGGCGATTAAAGTATTTTAGGATCTTTTATAAATTTGAAAATTTCTCTCCTGTACAGAATGTGAATTATCGATATTAATATTACCGGTATGTTAATATTAATATCGATATGATACTGCCGATTTGAAGTGCATTAAATAACTTTCTTTTAAATTCAGGAAACCTCTGATAAAGATAGCAAAATTTATTTCTCTCGGAATTATCCTTGATATATTATTTGTTTCAACGTTTCAGTTTAATCCTCATTTTTGGAATTTAATTTGAAATTTTATTAACATAGATCGATCATTTTTTAATTTTTTGGACATTTCTGTAACAAAAATTTTCCAAATTCTCTTCTTTCTTTGTATATATAAAAAACCTCGTGACCATATTGAACCTATATATTTATAATTGCACGCGAAAAAGCGATCAAATCTATTTAATAAAATAATCAAATTCGAGTTGCAAAAGTCTTGAGAAAAATTTGAAACGGAACAAAATATCAAAGCTATTTTTATTCGACGTAACATAAACCAAAAAGGTTATACTTTGATCAATTTTATGACCGTTGATAAAACCAACAATCACATCCTATACCATAAGAGTCAATTCTCGAGATCTTGATCCCAAGATTGAGATCCTCAGACCCTTCTTAACACCCTCTGCGTACACCTACAACGAAAAGGAATCCACCAGAATAAAAACAAGGAAAAACAGAAAGAAAGGAGAGGGGAACGCGTGAATTATAGTCGAAGAGTGACACATTCCAAAAATGATCGTTTGGACGCGAGAGATTTGCATTTTCTATGTGAAAAAGGATTACGAGTGCGTGTCGAACGTGTTAGGTACAGGCTACACACCTGTTCCAAGTGCCTGGCTCTGCTAATAACCGGTACTCGTATGCCTGCGAGCTGTTCAACAATGGAAAAGCGCCTTAAGGGAGGCACGCTTTTGCATACATCTCGGGCTAAACTAGCGGTCCTCGGCGAGTGAACGAGATCGACCACTATTTTGAGGTAGGGAACCTTCAGCCGTCCATTATTGCTGTACTTTCGGTACGTACATGTATATATATATAAAAATATACACCTTATATATATACATATATAGATATATATCGACAGAAAGTATATGTGTATATATATATACACGTATTAAGTAGGTGCAGATACGTATGTATACATATGTACACGCGTGTACGTGCATGTGGTGTGCAAATACACGTACTTGGGAGAAAAAGGGTCTTTGATGATGTCGTTAAAAAAATAATTAAAATTAACCATTTGCTTTATCATTCGAAGTCATACTCGTGGGTTGAGTACTTGGAAATTGACCTTAAATTTTCATTTTAATTATAAATTACAAGATGGCGAATTGCTGAAAAGAAATTACGTAAAATATTTTGGATACGAGTTTATACATTCGCAATGAAATTGTAGTTGTTATTTGTAACATCGTTTTGCTCCCGGTACAGTGATAACGTAGTGACTAATCAATCGTGGAAAAATCATAAGGCAAAGGGTTAATTCGGATTTATTGAATTTATAAGATTCGTAGATTTTATTATAAAATTCGGCAAGTAATCTCTAAGAGTATATGTATTTAGAAAAATGACGATTATTTTAATTTTCTTTACACCGAGGCGTGTATATAAAATAGGAAATTATCGAAGAATCTTGGTTTAAAATTTTTACATAAAGACTTTCAGGTTTACTCGGCTAATTTCTTCACTAGGCAAAAGTCGCCTGTAATTCCCCTTGTGTTTCAATTAAACTTCCCTTAACGTTATGAAAACTTCAGTGATTCTTTATATGTTCGATAAAGAAATCAATTTTCCAAAAGTATTCAAGATTCTACCTAATGCGTGCATTTTAAAAATATATCGTTAACGTAACATCGAAAAATAATTCGCTACTTTGGTACTGTATTTAAATCGAGCGCGTTACGCGGCCATTTTGGGTCACGTGTCCAATACATCCGCATAATTTCCCTTGCATCCCATTTAAATTTCCCTTAACGTTATCGAAACTTCAGTGATTCTTTATATATTCGATAAAAGAATCATATTTTCCCAAAAATATTTAAGATTCTACGCAATGCGTGCATTTTATAGATATACCGTTAACGAAACATCGAAAAATAATTCGCTATTTTGGTACTGTATTTAAAAGCGAGCGCCCTTCGCGGCCATCTTGGGTCACGTGACCAATACATCGCGCATAACCTCAAGACCGTGTCTCCGTCGATAATTGCGACTGAAATACGTTCTGATCGACTAGAATCTTACACGCATGATAGCAAAAAAGAAACGTAAAGGGAAGACACATGTACGCACCTCATTACATCCTTCATATGCCACACGCGTGTGCGCAGATGTGTATTCGCATGTGTCCGCGCATATCAATCCGTATATATTATATCCGAGCCAGCGTTACCAGTTGCACGTGCAGGGTTTTCAACTACTTAGATGTACGTCTATTTACATTTAGAAGCGGTTTTATTAATTGCTCGATCGCTCGAGTGGCAAGAAGTAATTGCTCGTATGCCTATGCCAAAATTATTCGAAACTGTTGTTTACTGGTAAAGAAAAGCGAAATAAATTAATTAACCTTTTAGGTACGGCGCGCGCGTCCGCCATGCTGTCTCCCAGGGACGAAGCGTCTTCACATTAGTACCCCGATCTTCGCCATAGATAATTCCTTTTTACACGCTACACAAATTCGCTAGGTTTTTTGGTTTTAACGGTTTTACAGTAGGACGAGATATATGGTTTAGGCGAAATAAATGAGAAATAAAGCAAGAAACGTATAATACCATCCGAAATCGTGATATCCACGAAAACCACTATAATGGCGTACCGTGCCTCAAAGGTTAAACAAAATTTCGTGTTCCAATAAAGTGACAAACAATATTCGACAATTTTTAAATATATATTGTTGAAATATGGTTACAGTAAATTCATTTCACGAGTGAACTTATTATCAGTAAATGAGAAACTGTTTAAACCTAACCTCTTAAGCGTGTATTTCGGAATTTAAAGCCACGAGAAATTCGTAATGAATTCGTACGATATTCTGATGAATACAGTTACAGGGAAATATAGAATTTTGATAGCAATTGTAACGGATTTGTCACTCGATAGATCGAGAAGTTACTTCGAAGTGTGTCTTTGAATACCGATTGAGTATCGAATGAGTGTACAGCGATCGTGCCGCAATAATCACCATGCTGCCCGATATTTTTTCATGTTTTTTACTGTTTCTACCTCCTGCAATCAGAGTCAAGAGTGGACAAAAGGTTTATTTTAAAGGAACGTGCCTTGTTTCAATTAAAAATGTCGATTTGCTTGTGTTTTATTAAATTAAATCTCACCGTTTCGTCGTACTTTTAGGTTAGGAATTTTCGATCGCAAATACGAAGCAACGTGAATACGACACGAATATGATTCTAATTCCTACTTTTGATATTATTTCGAGGAATTTCATTTTTCTTTTTTTAATATAGCAATATAATTGCTCTTCGAGTGTTAACAAATGTATGTATTGTTAACAAAAATAGACCTCTTTTATTAAACACAAATATTCGTGTATTTTATATGTCGATAAGAATATTCGAAATTTATTCATACTTTATGACTGTAGAGTTGATCACTTTTGTAAAATTAAAATAATCTTGGTTTTATTTTTCAATAATATTTTACGACATTTATGCGAAAAATTAGAAATAGAAAATATTATATTTTATTCTCCTTGTTATTAGATAAATTTGAGTTTCTGAGATTTTTTAATTTAAATTATCTTACGACTTTAGCGATAATTTTTAAAAATTGACGAGTATTTTAACCAGTATTTCGAAAATATTTCATTTTTCAAACGCTTTTATTCATTTTTCGAACGCTAGAGTGCAAAGAAAATGTACATTTTCCAAAGCCAAAGAAATTTTGAACCTTCTTGTGCAATTAATTATAATTTAATTGAAACTATCGAGTCATTTTCTTAATTCGAAAATGATTAATTAATTGACAAATGAGAAAACGATTATTTACGTTAAAATATGTACTAACCAAACTCGATTACGCTTTTTGTTTGCGATTAAAATTTCTATTTGAACGTCGAAATTTCATTGTCGTGTCATCGAATATAGAAAACAATATTCTTACCCAGAAACATTCTCAAAAGTATATACGACGTGACTTTTTTTCATGAAGAATTTTCCATTTTTAGGTACTAGAAATTTAATTCACTATTCTTCGATACCTTCCAGCCTTCGAATCGAATCGATTGTGGAAAAAGACGAGAAAGAGGATTAGTTAAAAATTCACGATTGTAAATAATTTACGTTCTCGTCGAATTGAAAGAGAAACGAGGCAGAGAAAAAAGGACTAGAAAATTTCAGTGGAAATTCGATGTCTGGCAAAGAATCATAGCGGCTAGAGGACCAAAGATAGCATAAGTCGGACCTAGTCGAACGGTATTATTCGGGTTGAAAAATAAATCACAGAAAAATCAACGAGAATTCGTGTTAATTGAAAGAAGACAAGAAACACCCGATAATTCACCAAAGACTTTGGTCCTTTCTGCGTACGTACGAATTGTATTATACCACTATGATTAATTGATTGTCTAAGAACGAGATGTCGCCTGTAGCGAGTGAACTTCATATTTTTTCAATGTCTCTATTCGCGGTCGTCGAAATAATTGTTAAACCGTGTGATCGAGACAATTATCGTAATCACCGTGTCGGCACGTCGATCGACGAATTTTATTTGACCGTATGATTGGTCTTGACCCTCGAAGTACCGTATTATATACATAGGTATACTTGTACTGTGACTTGAAGTTTTTCGAAAATTCGGAAAATTTTCTTAAAGATGATTTTTTCACGAGTTTCGGTGATAGTGATAGACGTGTAATTAGATTTTGGAAAAGGAATTTAATAGTAACGAATGATGG